GAACCACCGAGGAGGGTCTGAAATGAAGCGTTAAGTGAAGGCAGTTGTGGTGGGCAGTCACGTCCGAGGCCGGTCTCTTCCCAGACAAGGCCAACCTTTACCTCACCTGAGCCTTATCTGTTTCTGCATCTAGGATGACACACCTTGAGATGTCTGGGTAACTTGTCACTTCCCTTTCTCTGGAGTCCCTGGGGCACAACCAAAGTGCTGGGCTCCAGGGCAGATGTCTCAAATTCCTTCACTATCCTGCACCCACAGTGCGTGTCCATCATTTTACCTTTTACCCAATCCCGCCTCTCTAGTCCATCCCCAATGGATTTCCTGTAACCCCCTGCATCCCCCTTTGAGGGCCAGGCATAAATGCAGATGTAGCCGCCATTCTCCGGAGCGTTATCTCAGTTTCTTGAGGTTCTGCTTCCTGGCAGGTGTTCACAGTTTGGCTCCAATAAACTCACAATTCTTTGCAGGTTCGGTGGTTTTCTACGATCACATGGTCATGGTGGTAGAGGCGGCTGGAGCTCTGGGCCTCCATCTGGAGATTGCAGGTGTTAACCGAAAAAAAAACACACAAAACCACACACACAAAAACACACACACAAAAAAAAACCACACACATTGAGACCTGTAAAGAATTTTGTGAGTTTATTTGGGCCAAACTGTCGACATATGCCGGGAAGCAGAACTTCAATGGATTGAGATAACGCTCCGGAGAATGGCGGGTTACATGTGTTCATACATCGCCATCAAAGGAGGGACGGAGGTGAGTGAACATGGAATCCATTGGGGATAGGTTAGGGAGCAAAGCGGGGAAACCTCTGGGATTGGGTGAAAAGTGAAATGATGGACAGGTGCCTCTCTTACAGAGATGGATACCGGATACTGTACGGAATTAACAGCCGACAATTTGATAACAATCACAATGAGGGAATGTCCCTGGGGCCATCTGTTGTGGCCTGAGGGGTCGGGGTAAAAAGGAAGTTACAAGTTACCCAGACCTCCCACAGATACGTTATCTTACAGGCTAATAGGCAAATGGCTCAGGAAAGAAGATCTAAGTTGATATTTGTCTGGGAAAATATCGGCCTAGGACCACTGTGGTTGGCAAACTGCGGCTCTTTGGCCCCTTGAATGTTTAGCAAAGGCCAGCTTAGGAGTCCCCTAATTAAGTTAATAACAATGTACCTACCTATAGAGTTTAAGTTTTAAAAATGTGGCTCTCCAAAGAAATTTCAATCGTTTTACTGTTGATCTTTGGCTCTGCTGACTAATGAGTTTGCAGGCCATGGGCCTGGGACATGACTGCCCACTGTAACCTGCTTGTGGTTAAATATTTAATTTTCAGACCATCCTTTGTGGTGACTTTAGGTCTGAGTTTGCAAGACCGCCACGCAGGCCGCCCCTGAGCGGTCAGGTCGCAGGTAGGCAGGTCCCGGGGAAGGTCAGTGGAGGGTCCAGGTCTCCTCCGATGGTTGGTCAGAGCTTGGCGGCCGGCGGGAAGGGGGAGGGGAGCAGGGGAGGGGGGTGTCCTAACTCACTGCAGCTGGTCCCCAGTCGCTGGTCAGGCTTGGCTGCTTTCCTGGGCCTGGAGCTGAAATAAACCGAGGCCAGAGGTTCTCTCCAGGGGCAGCAAGCCCCTCCGCCAGCTGCCGGATCGGGGACAGAGGCCGCACTGGCTTACTCAGTCCCCCGTCCCAGCTGCCCACCCCACAGGGGCAGGGACACAGTTATAACAATGTAGCCCCTCTAATTATTGTGTGAAATGTTTGCTGTGTGGAAACCCCCAATACTCTGTAACTTCCAAAATTAACGAGCACCCCGACATCTCGACGTAAAGCCCTGCGCCCTGTATAAGCACACCGCCGGCCCACACCGATGAGGACACAGCTGGTCACCGCGGCCCACGTAACCGCCGACTGTGCAGCGGATGTCTCCCGCCCGATGAGGACTCCATCCCCCTCGCTCCGACCAGCCCGGCTGCTCTGCGGTGAGCCTGACCCTGCGGCCCCTGCCTGTCTCCGTCGTCCTCGTCCGTCCTCAGTGCAGCCGGGGGCCTCCGAGCCCGGGGCCCAGCAGGAATCGGAAGATAAACCGTGTGAGTGCAGCCGGGCCCAGCAGGAACCGGGGATAAACCCTGAGTGCAGCCCGGGCCCAGCAGGAATCGGAAGATAAACCGTGTGAGTGCAGCCGGGCCCAGCAGGAACCGGGGATAAACCGTGTGAGTGCAGCCCGGGCCCAGCAGGAATCGGGGATAAACCCTGTGAGTGCAGTCCGGGCCCAGCAGGAACCGGGGATAAACCGTGTGTGAGTGCAGCCCGGGCCCAGCAGGAACCGGGGATAAACCGTGTGAGTGCAGCCGGGCCCAGCAGGAACCGGGGATAAACCGTGTGAGTGCAGCCCGGGGCCCAGCAGGAACCGGGGATAAACCGTGTGTGAGTGCAGCCGGGCCCAGCAGGAACCGGGGATAAACCGTGTGAGTGCAGCCGGGCCCAGCAGGAACCGGGGATAAACCCTGAGTGCAGCCCGGGCCCAGCAGGAATCGGAAGATAAACCGTGTGAGTGCAGCCGGGCCCAGCAGGAACCGGGGATAACCGTGTGAGTGCAGCCGGGCCCAGCAGGAATCGGGGATAAACCGTGTGAGTGCAGCCGGGCCCAGCAGGAACCGGGGATAAACCGTGTGTGAGTGCAGCCGGGCCCAGCAGGAATCGGGGATAAACCGTGTGAGTGCAGCCCGGGCCCAGCAGGAACCGGGGATAAGCCCTGTGAGTGCAGTCCGGGCCCAGCAGGAACCGGGGATAAGCCCTGAGTGCAGTCCGGGCCCAGCAGGAACCGGGGACAAACCGTGTGTGAGTGCAGCCGGGCCCAGCAGGAACCGGGGATAAACCGTGTGAGTGCAGCCGGGCCCAGCAGGAACCGGGGATAAACCGTGTGTGAGTGCAGCCCGGGCCCAGCAGGAACCGGGGATAAACCGTGTGAGTGCAGCCGGGCCCAGCAGGAACCGGGGATAAACCGTGTGAGTGCAGCCGGGCCCAGCAGGAACCGGGGATAAACCGTGTGAGTGCAGCCGGGCCCAGCAGGAACCGGGGATAAACCGTGGTGAGTGCAGCCGGGCCCAGCAGGAACCGGGAAAAACCGTGTGAGTGCAGCCGGGCCCAGCAGGAACCGGGGATAAACCGTGTGAGTGCAGCCCGGGGCCCAGCAGGAACCGGGGATAAACCGTGTGAGTGCAGCCCGGGCCCAGCAGGAACCGGGGATAAACCGGTGAGTGCAGCCGGGCCCAGCAGGAACCGGGGATAAACCGTGTGAGTGCAGCCGGGGCCCAGCAGGAACCGGGGATAAACCGTGTGAGTGCAGCCGGGCCCAGCAGGAACCGGGGATAAACCGTGTGTGAGTGCAGCCGGGCCCAGCAGGAACCGGGGATAAACCGTGTGAGTGCAGCCGGGCCCAGCAGGAACCGGGGATAAACCGTGTGAGTGCAGCCGGGCCCAGCAGGAACCGGGGATAAGCCCTGAGTGCAGCCGGGCCCAGCAGGAACCGGGGATAAACCGTGTGAGTGCAGCCGGGCCCAGCAGGAACCGGGGATAAACCGTGTGAGTGCAGCCGGGCCCAGCAGGAACCGGGGATAAGCCCTGAGTGCACACTCCGGTCTGTGTCGTGTGTTCCCGCTCTGCTCCGCTGGCCACACAGAGGCACCGGGGACAGGCCGTTACTGCCGACCGTCACCTGCGTGTGCCCCGCGGAGTCTGGGCGGGTAATCAGTTAATTGGGGCTTATTGGGACACTCAGAGGGCAGGGTCGCAGAGGCGGGGTCACGGGCAGAATCAGGGTGTGGGCAGCACTGGGCAGAGGCTGGTGCCATCCCCCCGGGGGGGGGGGCTGGGAGACAGCGGTCTGGAGGCAGGGCTGTCGCCCCTGTGAGCCCCCATCAGACCCCTCTGGGGAGAGGCACGTAGGGGTCCCCACCTGACCCGGACGCTGAGCCTGGGAGGTCCTGGCTCCTGACCGTGTGCCCCGGGCAGGCTCCTCTCCCTCCCTCCCCCCTCTGTCCACACCCTTCCTCCCTTCCCACAGGCTCCGGGAAATCGAAACTCCATCCCGGCTCCTCCCAGCCCAGGGAGGGGCGCCCGGAGCCACACCGGAGCCACACCGGATGTCCCAGGTCCGGGTGTCCCAGGTCAGGGCGCCTCCGCCTGCGGGAGGAAAGTCCTCCCGGAGCCCCGCCCCCCGGAAGTCCCAGCCCCCTCCGCAGCGCCCGGGGAGGTGGCCCCCCCCCCCCCCCGCTGCCCTGGGCCGTCACCCCAATTCCTCACCCTGAACAGCCCCCCCTTCCCCCCCAGGACTGCCTGGCCTGGACCCAGGGCCCCGGCCCCGGAGCTCAGGCTCCCGGGACAGCCGGCCCCTTTACTCTTTACAAAGTGCACGTTTATCCACCTGCGGCCCCTGCGTGCCCACAGGGACGGCCAGCAGCCTGGGCACACTGGCTGGGTCCCCGGGTCCATTCCCATGGCCTGTCCCACACAGCAGACCCCCGGGCCCTGCAGCCCGAAGGGGGCACAGGCAGGGCTGGCTGGGCTCGGGGCCCTCACGGCCGAACAGACCAGAGGACAGGACGGCGGGCGTCTGTTTATTTGAGGCACCAAAGCAGCAGCTCCAGGGTGAGGGCATGGCGGGGGGCGGCAAAGCTGCTGGAGTGAGTGGGGCGTGGCCCCCCGAGGCCTCACAGACCCCTGAGGGGACGGCGGGGCGCCCGCACCCAGCACCCCCTTCCACGCCACTGCCGGGCGGCCTGGCCGATGGACAGGGCGGGGCATGGCCTCCCGGTGGGTTCCCCTGACCCAGGGACGGGCGCTGACCCCAGGCCCGGGGGTCCCTCCGAGCTCACATCCGGACCTGGAGTGAGGGCAGCGGCCGCGGGGCAGGGAGGTGCGGGGACCGGCCGAGGTGGGGTGTCAGGCGTGTGCGTGAGGGGCGGGGGGCGGGGCTTTCCTTCCTGAGCGGTGGGGCCGGGCGGGGCCGGGGCCGGGGTCAGGGGTCAGGGGTCAGGGGCCGGGCCGCAGCAGGGCCAGCAGGCTGAGCAGCAGCCCGAGGCCCAGCAGGGCGGAGCTGGCCCGCAGCCCGCGGGCGGCGCTGAAGTTGCAGAGGAAGCTCTGGCAGCAGTGCGTGCCCACGGAGGCCACGCCGATGTTGATGCCGGGCGGCGCGGGGCAGATGGGGGAGCAGCCCTTGTTCAGGCTGTAGCCGAGGTCCACCACGTTCCCTGCGGGGGGGCGGGGTGAGTGGCGGGCGGGCGGGCCGGGCGGGCGGCGGGCGGCGGGCGGGGCGGCACTCACCGATGCCGGCGGCCGCGGACACGGTCACGCAGTAGTTGTCGGTGTCCTCGCACACGGTGGGCCGCAGGCAGTAGAAGTTGCTCTGCTGATTGGTGCAGGAGAAGCACACCAGCGAGTGGGCTGGAGGGAGAGGTGCAGGCTGCAGGGACACTGGCCTGGGGCCGGGGGCAGGGTGCTAGGGGGCCGGGGGCAGGGTGTGTGGGGGCAGGGGGCAGGGGGCAGGGGACAGTGGACAGGGGCAGGGTGTGTGGGGGGGCAGGGGGCAGGGGACAGGGGACAGTGGGCAGGGGGCAGGGTGTGTGGGGGGGCAGGGGGCAGGGGACAGTGGACAGGGGGCAGGGTGTGTGGGGGGGGCAGGGGGCAGGGGGCAGGGGGCAGGGGACAGTGGACAGGGGGCCGGGGGCAGGGTGCTAGGGGGCAGGGGGCAGGGGACAGGGGGCAGGGGCAGGGTGTGTGGGGGGGCAGGGGGCAGGGGACAGGGGGCAGGTGCAGGAGGCAGGGTGTGTGGGGGGGCAGGTGCGGGGGAGGAGGTCACAGTGCCCGCAGGCCCGCGGGGCCTCACCTTGCTCCGCGCCCAGGAGGGCGGCCAGCAGCACGGGCAGGAAGACCTTCATGTTGGGGGATGGCTCTGGTCGGCCTCACACGCAGAGCTGCTGTGCTGTGTCCTGTTTAAAACAGGCCAATACAAAGATAGTCACTGAAGCCAGAGAGGAGGGGGGAGACACCATGACGAGAGGGAATCATGGGTCGGCTGCCTCCTGCACGCCCGCCCCCCACTGGGGACCGAACCTGCCACGGGGCCTGTGCCCTGACGGGGAATCGAACCGCGAGCCCTGGTTCCTAGGTCAGTGCTCACGCTCCCGAGCGCCACTCTGCTCTGGAGACACAGCTGGTGGCCGGAGGGTGACCCCCTTGTAGGGAGGGAGGGGGGCGCTGCTTCCAGCAGCAGCAGGACATGGGTCTTTCTGTCCCCCCACCCCCTGCAGCCTCCGGCCCCCAGCCTCCGGCTTCTGAACACAGCTGGGCGGGCGGGCGGAGAGGCGGCCCTGGCCCTGGGGAGGGTGACCCGAGGCGCTAGCTGGCTTCCTTGTGGAGCGAAGGCGAGTGAACGGCCCTGGAGGCCACACCCGGCGGGAACCTGGAGCCTTATCCCGGGCCGGCGGCTGTGCTGCCTGCAGGGCGGACGGAGTCAGAGCAGCCCGCCTTTGTGCTTTGTGCAGGACCACCCTTTATATGTACACATTGTAGGGATTTTCCACAGAGAGGAGAGGGACAGAGAGCTAGAAACATGGATGAGAGCCGAAACCGGTTTGGCTCAATGGATAGAGGGTCGGCTTGGGGACTGAAAAGTCCCGGGTTCGATTCTGGTCAAGGGCATGTACCTTGGTTGCGGGCATATCCCCAGTAGGGGGTGTGCAAGAGGCAACTGATCAATGACTCTCTCTCATCGATGTTTCTAACTCTCTATCTCTCTCCCTTCCTCTCTGTACAAAACCAATAAAATATATTAAAAAAAAAAATAGAAACATGGATGAGAGAGAAACACCGATCAGCCGCCTCCTGCACGCCCCCGACCGGGGATGTGCCCGCAATCAAGGTCCATGCCCTTGACCGGAATCGAACCCGGGACCCTTCCGTCCGCAGGCCAACGCTCTATCCACTGAGCCACACCGGTTTCGGCGAGACCACCTGTTAAGACATTAGCCACGTCCTGTTTTTGCAGAGTAAAGCGACCCCAGGCAGAGCAGCTTTCCCCAATGACGCAGGGCCATGCTATTGGGGGCCATGTCACTCACGGCCATCCTGTTCTCCAGAAAGCTGGCAGGGTCCCGTCTCGCAAGGCCACTTTGTGACGGGTAGGGAAGGGGCCAGGACACCCTCCCTCAAGGCCTGGCCGGTGTCAGCACTGGCAACCCTCTCTGGGGCCTGGTCCAGTCTCTCCCAAGTGCTCAGAAATTCCCACTCTGCCAAAACCGGTGTGGCTCAGTGGATAGAGTGTCCGTCTGCGGACTGAAGGGTCCCAGGTTCGATTCCGGTCAAGGGCAAGTACATTGGTTGGGGACACATTCCCAGTGAGGGGTGTGCAAGAGGCAGCTGGTTGACGTTTCTCTCTCCTCGATGTTTCTAACTCTCTATCCCTCTACTTTCCTCTCTGTAAAAAAAAATCAATAAAATATATTAAAAAAATTCCCACTCTAACAGGCCCAGAACTTTCCATGGCCAGCTCCACGCTGGACATGGGTCCCAGGGGCGGGGTGGGAGGCGTGCCCAGCGGAGCAGCTGCCCAGGGCAGCCTGGCGCTCGGGGACTCGGACCCGTTCAGTACCTGCTTCTCCCGGTTCTGTGGCCGGAAACAGGCCCAGAGCACCGCGGGGGGCTGAGGCTCAGCCGTGGGGCGGGGGCTCCACTGCAGGCTCCCTGGGAGGAAGCTCAGCAGGGAGAGAAGAGACTTGGGGAGGGAGGGGCCCCAGGCCTCGCCTGCCTGCCTGGCCCCTGTCCAGGCCCAGCCAAGGGGTCCATCAGGCCCCAGCCAGGCCCAGCCAAGGGGTCCATCAGGCCCCAGCCAGGGGGTCCATCAGGCCCCAGCCAGGGGGGGTCCATCGGGCCCCAGCCAAGGGGTCCATCAGGCCCCAGCCAGGGGGTCCATCAGGCCCCAGCCAGGGGGGGTCCATCGGGCCCCAGCCAGGGGGGGTCCATCGGGCCCCAGCCAGGGGGTCCATCAGGGTCCAGCCAGGGGGTCCATCGGGGTCCAGCAGAGCGTTGGCAGGGTCAGGTGCAGGCAGAGCACGTGCTCCCCCTCCCTCCCCGCCCCGCTCCGGGGTGCGGGGAGGCCGGCGCCGGGCCGCGGGGAGGCGGGAGGCGGAGCTGCCGGGTCCAGGGGGGAGGAGGCCGGCGCCCCGGCCCCGCAGCTGCTTGTGTAACCGATGCCAACCCACCCGGGGGTGACGCACCGGGGCGGCCGGTCCGGCCCCGGCCCCGCGAGCGGCCGCGTGGAGCCCGCGCTGGGCGACCGGCCGAGCCTGCGCCGCCGCCGGTCCCCGCGCCCGGACCTTCGGAGCAGCGGGCGGCTCAGCCCCTCTCCCCGCGCCGGGCCCCCCGGACCCCGGTCCTCCCCCGCGCCGGCCCCCCCGGACCCCGGGCCTCCCCCCCGCCGGGCCCCCCGGACCCCGGGCCTCCCCCCGCCGGCTCCCCCGGACCCGGGCCTCCCCCCCGCCGGGCCCCCCCCGGACCCCGGGCCTCCCCCCGCCGGGCCCCCCGGACCCCGGGCCTTCCCCCGCCGGGCCCCCCCCGGACCCCGGGCCTCCCCCCCGCCGGGCCCCCCGGACCCCGGGCCCCCCCGGACCCCGGCCTTCCCCCGCCGGGCCCCCCCCCCCGACCCCGGCCTCCCCCCCGGCCCCGGCCTCCCCCCCGGCCCCGGCCTCCCCTCCGGCCCCGGCCTCCCCCGGCCCCGGCCTCCCCGCCAGACTCACCGCCCGCTCCGCACCGACTGCCCGGCGCTCCAGGCGGGTCTCGCAGGCGGGGCGGATGGCGGGGCGGATGGCGGGGCGGATGGCGGGGCGGAGCCGGGGTCCGGACCGGGGGCGGGGCCGGGCGGGAGCGGATGGGGCGGGGGCGGGGCCCGGGGCGGAGGGGACGCTGGTCCTGACCCCACTGGCGGGTCCCGCCGAGCCCGGGCTGCGGGAGGCGCCCCGTGCGCGCGGGCGGAGGACCCACAGGCGGGAGAGTGCTCGTGTGTGTGTGTGTGTGTGTGTGTGTGTGCGCGCGCGCGTGTGGAATTGTGTGCGTGTGCTCATGTGTGCGTGTGCTCCTGTGTGTGCGTGTGCTCGTGTGTGTGCGTGTGCGTGTGGGAGTGTGTGCGTGTGCTCCTGTGTGGGAGTGTGTGCGTGTGCTCCTGTGTGTGCGTGTGCGTGTGTGTGTGCTCGTGTGTGCGTGTGCTCGTGTGTGCTCGTGTGGGAGTGTGCCTGCGGAGCTCTGGGCTGCGGGCAGCTCCTTGCTGGTCTGTGAGGTCAGGGAAAGGCGGCTGGGACTCCTCGGGCTGGTCCTCGGAGGCTGAAGCCCAGGCTTGTGTGCCCTGGGCTGTCCCCAGCCAGGGGTGGGGACACCGGTGGTTCCAGAGCCCAAGGACACGGCGTCAGCAGGACTGGGGTCTGGGCAGGGCTGCCTCCACCGGTCCCAGCAGGGCCTGCGCATCTATCCGGAGCTCGGGCTTGTCCTGAGGGGTGACATCGCCGTTCCTCCGAGGGGCGCTCTGGGGCCCTGCTGGGGGCCTCCCCCAGACATCAGCCCGGAGGCCGCGACATGCGTGTGTCCAGCAGGCAGAGCCTGGCCTGCAGCGGGAGCTCAGCAGACACAGGGTGAAGGCCCCATGGCTGTGCCTCCCACAAGACAGGCCCCCCGCGGCCTTCGGGACCCTCAGCATCCGAGCGGCCCTCGCACCCGCCCAGGGTCCCTGCTGTGGGTCCCGCCCGGCCGCCGGCCTGGCTCAGGGTGGGGCGCCGGCTTAGGAGCCTGGAGGTCACAGTTCACTTCCTGGTCAGGGCCCGGGCCCGGGTTGCAGGCTCCATCCCCAGCGCCCATGCTTCTCTCTCATCACTGATGCAGCTCTCTCTCCCTTCCTCTCCGAAGTCAATAAAGAAAAAGAGAAAGTGCCCGACTGCCCACGGCCGAGCCCCCGGTCTGTGTGACGCCAGCCCCCAGCAGCCTGTGGAGCCGTTCGGAAAATCGGGGGGGGGGGGGCAGGTGGCCCGGCCGCCCGTCTGAGAGGGCGGCTGTTGTGGCCACGTTAGCTGCTGGTCCCGCTGTGAGCCTGTGGCCTCCCTGTCCACACAGACCTTGGCCTGTGACCTGTGCTCCGGCGGCATACGCCCCCGCGTCCCCAGCGCCCAGGCCAGCACCTGCTCTGCCTCCTGTCCGGCCGCCCACCTGCTGGGGCGGCCCCGCTGTCGCCGGGCCTCAGGGAGGCAGGTCTGAGCCTGCCTGGCCCTCCGGAATGTGCGGGGGCGGTTGGTTGCCTGGGTCTCTGCTGGAAACATGGGCGGCAGGCATCGGGGTGCGGCCTGGGCGGGAGCCAGCGGTGGTCCTGGCAGAGCCCAGCACTCCGGGGCCCCTGAGGCGGGGCGTTTCGGGGTGAGGAGGGTCCAGAGCAGAATCCCATCTCCCGGGGCCGGAGCACCACCCCCAGGGCCGAGGGGGCCTGGCGGGCAGTGCCCTGTGGGCGTGGCCCTGTTGCTGGGTTGCTGTTGGTTGTCTGCCTTGGAGGTCTGGGTTGCTCTGTGGTCAGCACCTGGGGCTTTAGCCTCTGTCATCGGGCCAGTTCCGCCGAGGACGTGCCCTCCGAGTGACCTTCCACAGGCTGAAGATGCCCAGGACGCGCAGCAGGGGCCGTGCCCACCATCCCTCCGGGCCCCAGGGTGCTAACCAGGAGGCAGCACACCCTCTCCCGTGCCCTGTGCTCCAGGGCCCGCCCCTCCTGCCACGAAGCCCCTGGCACTGCCCCGCTGTGAACACTGCCCAGCCTGTACGAGGAGCTCAGGAAGTGACTGGACAAGCACACTTACACGGAAGTACAGCTCCAGAGGTGGTGCTGTGGGACTGAGAATTCATTACTACTTTTAAAATATATTTTTATTGATTTCAGAGAGGAAGGGAGAGAAACGTCAATGATAAGAATCATGGGCATGCGCCATCGAACTGGGGACCCTTCCGTCCGCAGGATCACGCGCTATCCACGAAGCCAAACTGCCCAGGGCCCCAAGTCCTCCATTCTTGCGTCTCGGCCATGCAGTGGCCCTGCAGTCCCACCTCGCACCCAGCTCTGCGCCCTCCCGGGTCCCGCGGGCCCTGGGGCTTCCTCCACGCCCTCCGGAGGGCCCAGGAGGCCCGGTGAGCGCCCTCCCGCCGGCCCTGTCCCTGGTGCTGGTCCCCCGCGGCGTCCCTCGCGCGCCCTCTCGTGGCCGAGGCGCGCGCCGCACAGTGAAGCGGCTCCGCTCCAGGTCCGGGCCGCTCGGCCGGCGGGGCCTCGGGTTCCGGTTCCATGGGCGACCCCGCGGTGGCGGCCCGTGCGGCTGCGGCTCTAACTCCCGTCCCTGGGGGTCGCGGGCCCTCCCGGTCCTGGCTGCGCTTGGAGCCCTCTGGGGAGGTGCGCCCCGCGGGCCCACATGGGAGATCGGGCCTCGCCAGCCCGTCCCCGCCCTTGGAGGTGCCGGGCACCCCGCCCGGAGGGGGAGGCTGCGGGGGCGGCCAGGGCCCTGGCTGTGCGGGCCGAGTTCCCGTTCTCTCCCAGGAACTGTCTCCCTTCCGGGCAGGTTCCATTTCTCCCCTGGAGCCTCTCGGGGGGCGGCCCGGGAAGGGGTGCCTGCCCAGGCCCTCCAGGTGTGTGAGCTGGGTGCCCCGGAGGCCCAGGCCTCACCTCCCGCCTCTGCACGGCGCGCTCGGGCTCCGAGGGGCGGGGCCGCGGCGGGGCGGGGCCTCAGGGCGAGAGAGGGGCGGGGCCTCGGGGCGGGGGAGGGGCGGGGCCGTTCGGGGAAATGGAAACTGGCGAGCTGCCAGGGTCTTGAAACGGAGGCTCGGTCCTGCGGCTCCATTGGCGAAGCACCGCCTCCCTACACACGTGCTGCCCACGGCACCCCCTCCCCCCGCGGGCACCCCTCAAATTGCATACGGCCTCACCCATGCACTGTGCTCCCTGACTCCCTGCCAGGCGTGACCGGAGTGACCAGAGCGACCAGAGCGACCACAGTGACCAGAGTGACCAGGAGTGATCAGTGACCAGAAGTGACCAGAGCGACCAGAGCGACCAGGAGTGACCAGAGTGGCCAGAGCGACCAGAGCGACCACAGTGACCAGAGTGTCCAGGAGTGATCAGTGACCAGAGCGACCACAGTGACCAGAGTGACCAGCCGCCGGCGGGGAGGGCGGTGAAGCCCGGGGCACAGAAAGCCCGCGGGGCAGGCCGGGGGACCCTGCCCGCTGGGAGCAGGTCAGCGGGCAGCACCACGTCTGGGACAGACCGGAAGGCGCACCGGGACCGGTCGGCCCGCGCTCTGGAGGCCGTGGCTGGGCGGCTGTGCCCCGGCCCTCCGATTGGGGCTGCAGCCCCTGGAGGCCAGGCGCTGGTATTGACCGACACACCGGTGACCACCCCGGCCAAGCACGGCTGTGACGGTGACGCCGCGGGGTGAGCGGAGCCTGGGCGGCGGGCGGACCCCAGGGGGCGGGGTGAGCAGGCGGTGCCGGATCCGGGGTGACTTCCTGCCTCACCCTAACACGGTGATGGTAGCACCGAGGAAGCTGCGAGGCGGATAAACACTGGACTGATTTTGAAACTTCTTTGTGTGAACTGACTTCAAAAAGGAAAGTTAAAAATGTCAAAGCAGTGTGAAATGGGGGTGGGGCACCCTTCCCCCCACATCCTCCCCCTGCACCCCACCCCACAGGGTGCGGTGTGTGGTGTCACGGGTCTCTCATGGTGGTGGGGCAGACAGGAAAGGGGGTGCTGGGCAGACAGGAAAGCGGGTGCTGGGCAGACGCAGGAGTGGGTGCTGGGCAGACACAGGAGGGGGTGCGGGGCAGACGCAGGAGGGGGTGCTGGGCAGACGCAGGAGGGGGTGCTGGGCAGACACAGGAGGGGGGTGCTGGGCAGACGCAGGAGGGGGTGCTGGAAGACAGGAAAGGGGGTGCTGGGCAGACAGGAAGGGGGTGCTGGGCAGACACAGGAGGGGGTGCTGGGCAGACGCAGGAGGGGGTGCTGGGCAGACGCAGGAGGGGGTCCTGGAAGACAGGAAAGGGGGCGCTGAGCAGACGCACGAGGGGGTTCTGGGCAGACAGGAAAGGGGGTGCTGGGAAGACACAGGAGCGGGTGCTGGGGCTCCCAGCTTTCCTGGCTCCGGGCCCTGCACTCCTCACAGCCGGGGCATGGGAAGGGGCGCAGGGAGGAGAGGTGTGGGGAGGAGGGGCGCGGGGAGGAGCACCCTTTGTCTGGGTTTGGGGCTGCGTCTCCCTTTCAGCTCGGTGGTGAGAGGACCTGAGGGGTCCCTGGTCCACTCTGCTCCCACCTCCCAGAAGAAAACGGTGTGGGAGCCGGGTCCCGTCCCAGCGGCCCTGGAGGGGGCAGGGGTCCGTCCCAGCGGGCCCTGGAGGGGGCAGGGTCCCGTCCCAGCGGCCCTGGAGGGGGGCAGGGTCTGGTCCCAGCGGCCCTGGAGGGGGCAGGGTCCCGTCCCAGCAGCCCTGGAGGGGGGCAGGGTCCCGTCCCAGCGGCCCTGGAGGGGGCCAGGGGTCCGTCCCAGCGGGCCCTGGAGGGGGGCAGGGTCCGGTCCCAGCGGCTCTGGAGGGGGCCAGGGGTCCGTCCCAGCGGGCCCTGGAGGGGGCAGGGTCCGGTCCCAGCGGCCCTGGAGGGGGGCAGGGGTCCCGTCTAGCGGCCCTGGAGGGGGGCAGGGGTCCCGTCCCAGCGGCCCTGGAGGGGTGAGGCCGGCAGCGTGGGTTCTCGGCTTCACGCAGGAACGTGCTCAGGACATGGGCCAGGTGGTTCTGACCAGAGGTTTATTGACGCTGGGACAGTGGGAGGGAGAGGAAGCCGCGGGCGAGGGGGCATCTGCCCTGCAGGAAGGTGACAAGACGGAAGGGCCCAGGCAGGGCTGCCCCACCCTGCCAAGTCAGAGAGGAGCAGTGTGGGAGGCAGGTTGGGGTGAGCCCGGACAGCTGCCCCCCAGGTTTTGAGTCTGTGGGGACCTTAGGGCTTTGGGGAGAGAGTGGAAATATGGGCGAGGGAGACGGCTGGGGCTCTAGGGAGGGGAGGGGAGGGGAGGGGCGCCCGCTGGCCACCCCGCCCTCGGCTGCGGGAGCCGGGGTGGTCTCGGAGGGTCTTGCCAGAACCTCTCCAGCTTCCCCGTGTTGCTGGCCTAGCCCCGTGGGACTGACTGCCAGGCTTGCCAGCACGGTGACCCCCCTCCCCCGCTCCCAGCTGCTCAAAACCTCTCCCGCCCACGAGGCCAGGGCCCCAATCCTGAGGGCTCAGTGCGAAGGGGCAGCCGGCACTGCAGACGGAGGACTTCATTAAAGGGAGCACAGGGGCCCTAGCTGGTGTGGCTCAGTGGATAGGGCATTGGCCTGCGGACTGAAGGATCCTGGGTTTCAGGGTCAGACCCAGTAGGGGGCGTGCAGGAGGCAGTTGATCAATGATTCTCTCTCATCGTTGATGATCCTATCTCACTCCTCTCTGAAATCAATACAAACATATTTTTTAAAAGGGAGCACGTGGCTGTGCTGCCCCACCCCCTCTTCCAGAAGCTTCTCTGTAGTCACCCTGATGGCGGCCGGGGGTTGGCGGTCTTGCTCTCAGGGTATCATTGGCCAAGATGTCCCATTGGGCCCTCGGTGGTCCACCCAGCCCCGCAGAGGGTGGCGGGGCGGAGGGCCCGTGGCTGAGAACAGGCGGTGGGCGCACGGCGGCCCTGCTCCAGGCTCAGCTCTAAGCCAGAGCGCGGGCAAGGAGTGCGTGTGTGACGGGGCCTCGAGCAGGCCGGACCACGCTGTCGGTCCTCGCAGGGAAAGAGCAGGGCTGGACGGGGAGGCGAGGCACAGAGTCCGAGGCCCCGTGGGTGGACACGCGGGGAGCTGGAGCCGGTCCTGGGTGCCGGGGTGGGGCTCAAGGCCCTCGGAGGACGTTCCTCGCAGGGGAAGGCGCCGGGGGACCGGCACATGGTCCTGGCCTGCAACCAAGACTCACCCCAGCCCTGCCCGAACTCCGAGGGCTGGCTGTCCGCTGGTGCAGGCGCTGGGCAGGCGCTGGACAGGCGCTGGGCAGGCGCTGGGCAGGTGCTGGCTGGGCAGGCGCTGGGCAGGTGCTGGCTGGGCAGGCGCTGGGCAGGCGCTGGGCAGGTGCTGGCTGGGCAGGCGCTGGGCAGGTGCTGGCTGGGCAGGCGCTGGGCAGGCGCTGGGCAGGTGCTGGCTGGGCAGGCGCTGGGCAGGCGCTGGGCAGGTGCTGGGCAGGTGCTGGCTGGGCAGGCGCTGGGCAGGTGCTGGCTGGGCAGGCGCTGGGCAGGTGCTGGCTGGGCAGGTGCTGGCTGGGCAGGTGCTGGCTGGGCAGGCGCTGGGCAGGTGCTGGCTGGGCAGGCACTCGGCAGGTGCTGGGCAGGTGCTGGCTGGAGGTGTGGCTCAGGGAGCAGGCCTGGCGGAAGCAGGCGGGGCCTGGGGGCGGGCAGGGGAGCTGGAGGCGCCACGGGGAGGGGTGCAGCGGGGGGACTAACTGAGGGCCCGGAAGGTCAGCAGCGGGATGACGGACGGCATCAGGACGAACCGGTAGACCATCTTGATATCCTCTTGCGTGAGCGTGTCCACCTGGAAGTGTTTCAGCACCTAGGACAGAGGCGGACCCCCGGAGGCCGGTCAGTCCCATGTCCCCGCCCACCGGCCCCGCCCCTCCGCCCGGCCCCGCCCCGGCCGCTCACGTGGTGCAGCAGCAGCAGCATCTCCATCTCGGCCAGGCGCCGGCCCAGGCACTGTCGGGGGCCGAAGCCGAAGGCCAGGTGGGGCAGCCTGGCGCCGGAGCCGCGGTGCAGCCAGCGCTGCGGCTGGTAGAGCTCGGGCCTCACGAACACGGCGGGGTTTCGGCCCAGGTGGTAGAGCTGCACCGTGATCAGCGTCTGCAGGCAGCGGAGGGAGGTCAGCAGGTGGGGCGCAGGTCCCTGCTTGGCCTGGGGAAGGACGGGGCCTCGCTCACCCCTGCCGGGATGTGGTAGTTCTGCAGGACCAAGTCCGAGTCCACCTGCCGGTCCACAGAGATGCCCACGGGGTACAGCCTGTGGACAGGGCAGCAGCAGCTCGTAATGGGCCAGGGCCCCTCCTCCTCCGCCAGGGCCCGCCCTCGCAGGTCCCTTTGGGACTGGGACCTGCGGCCCCTCCTGAGCTCAGCCCAAACTGCTCCCCAGCCTCAGCGTCTGCAGTGAGGCCCGGGGGACCGGGAGCCCTGTCCCTGAGGGCCGGGCCGGGGTGCACCCTCGGGCAGAGCTGTGCGGGCCGCCTCGGGCGCACCCACCTCAGGGTCTCCTTGAGCGCGGCCCGCAGCAGGGGCAGCTGGGCCACGGCCCTCTGGGGGTTCTCGGAGATGGCGGCCTCAGCCTGCAGGCTCTCCTGACGCAGGGCCTGCTGCACCTCGGGGTTGCGCGCCAGCTCGAAGAGGGTCATCAGCAAGGGGTAGGCCGTCTGCGGGAGCGGGGAGCCGGCTCAGACTCGGCGCAGGCTGTGCCTCGGCCCGGGCCCCCTCCCCGGGCAGGTGTCTCAGACCAGGGTGTGCCTGCTGAGAGCAGGATGGAGCCCAGGGCACCGACCCTGCAGGCAGGACCTTAGAACCCACCCCCTCTGCTTTCCCTGAGCCCCAGCCCCCGGGAGACCGGCCCTGCCACCTTTGGGGGCTCCCACCCCAGGGGCTCCCCCTCGCCATCTATTTGGGGTGGTGCCTGGGGCAGCTCTTCCCCATGGGCCGTTCCCATGTGCAGGGAGAGGCACCCCAGCCCAGCCTGAGACCTACGGACGGATGCTCTCCTAATCTCATCACCATGGCAACATGCCCTGCATCTCCGGACACACGGCAGTGACCTGTCCGTGCTGCGCCCTGTGGCCAATGGGGCCTTGTTCGTTACTGGGGGACCCATGCTCCAGGCAGCCTGCAAGGCGATGAGGCCTGGCACTGAGCCCTGCCTTGCAGTGGCCCTGACCTCTGCCCTTATCTGCCCCCCACTCAGCCTCGCTGCCTCCCCTTGCTGCCTGCTGCCCCCGCAGGCCTGGCTAGTTGCTGGGTGGTTGTTCCACATTCAGCCCGAAGTCCTGCCCCCAGGAAGCCTGCTGGAGCCGCTGAGGTGCATCCCCTGGCTCGCTCGCACTGAGGGCATCTTGGCTTCTGGTCGGGGAGGGTCTTGCCACGGACCTGAGCCTCAGCATCCGGGTGCCAGGCCCAGAGCGCTGCCAGGCCGAGTGGCCTGAGAGGCTGGGGGGAGGCTGGGCCTGGAGGCAGGAGGCATTGGCTGGCTGCTCGCTCTGGCCCGCCTGCCCCCCACGCGGCTGCCATCTGCTCTCTCCCCGGTCAGCGGGAGCCGTGCTGCCCTGCCTGCCACCAGCTGCCGCCTCCATGGGATCTTTAAGACCGAATGCCCTCGTCCCCGCAGGGCCCTGGCGGCCGGCCTGGCTGTGCCCTCTTGCTGGCCCCCGATGGTCTGCATGGGGTCCCTCTGCAGGCTGCCGGAGCCTGGGCCCCTCCAGTGACAGCACACCCGCCCTGCGAGGCCACTCCGTGTGCCTCCCCTCCAAGCTCATTCCCCAGGCGGAGCAGAAGACGGAGCTGCGGCCGCCTAGCCAGGGGGGGGGCCGAGGGCACTTTGGGGAGCCCGGGCCCAGGTGCTGCGGGCCGGGCGGGGCTGGCCTGACCGTGTCCACGCTGCCGGCCGTGAGGTCGATGGAGCTGGCCTTGATGGCGTCCAGCGTCATGTCCGCGTGCAGGAGCAGCTCGGCCACCACGCCGCTGTAGTGCTGGGGGCGCCCGAGCGCCAGCTCCTGGTAGATCTTCTTGATGGAGCTGTTGGCTGTGGACACAGAGCCTCCTGCGTCAGCCAGTCACCCTCTGCCTGGCTCTCTGCCACGGTCCCGGGGCCTCTGTGAGCCTCAGTTCCCTTCTCTGACTGAGGCCCCGGGTCCCAGCCATGCAGCCCACCTGGCTCCTCCCTCCCCCTCCCCTTGGCTCACCCCTCCCTGTCCCCTCCCTCTGGCTCACCCCTCCCTGTCCCCCTCCCCCTCCCCTCCCCCCCCTCCCCGCTCACCGTACTGGAAGATGCAGTCCCAGGCCTCGAAGTGCTCCTTCCACACCTGGGGGCTCGTCCAGCGGGACAGGCTCCGGGGCATGAACATGAGCCGCATGGTGGACTCCAGCATGGCCTGCAGCGCACGGATGAAGTCCAGGCTGGCCCGGCTGGGGCTCTGGCTGAGGAGGCCCAGCCTTTCTCCGAAAAGGACCAAGTTGCTGGCTGTGGAGGAGGGGCCGCTGAGGGCATGGCAGCCCAGGGCCTCACTGCGGCCTCTGCCCGCCCTCCAGGCCCCCGGCCCCTGCCCCTGGCCCTGCCCCTGGCCCCTGACTGCCAGCTCCTGCCCCCTGACTGCTGGCTCCTGGCCTCTGCCCCTCAGCCCCCTGCCCCTGGTCCCTGTGCCCCGGCCCCCTGGCCTCTGCCCCCGCCCGGCCGGAGACCCACCCTCCAGGGTGTAGTAGAAGATGCTGGGCTGGATGTCCAGGGTGAGGCTCCCGCGGGCGTTCTGCTGCACCTTGGCCATGAGGGCCCCGCAGAAGTCCCTGGCCACCCGGTCCACCATGGGCACGAACTTGTGGACGGCCTGCGGCGACATCACGTCCGGGTTCAGCCGCAGGCGGTCCGAGCGCCAGGCCGGCCCGTTCCTGTGGGGCAGAGAGCGGGCTTCAGGGCACCCGCCAGCAGCAGGCCCCGTTGCCCTCCTCCTCCTCTCCACGGGGGCAGGGGCCCTTCCACAGGCTCAGTCAGGGCGCCCGTGGGCTGTGCCCTGATCCCAGCCTGGCCCGGGGCCACGCTCCCCTCGCCGTGGGCCTGTGGCTCCTGTCCCCTCCGCTCAGCCCTGCCCCCCCCCCCCCCCGCCCTCACAGCAAGAACACGCCGTGCTTGTGGCCGCGCTGCCGCCGGTGGGCCAGCCAGGGCTCCAGGACCATCCTGCGGGGCTGGCGGCCCTCCGCCTGCTTCAGCTTCTCCACGTCCTCGGGCAGCGTCAGGCACACCATGTGCCTCCCGCCCACGTCGTACCTGGGACAGAGGCAGAGCCGTGTGGCCGCGTCCTGGGCCACAGGAGACCTCCCCTCCCCTCCCCTCCCCTCCCCTCCCCTCCCAGCCTCCGAGGGGCAGCCCTCCTGCCGGCCCCTCTGGACGTCAGGACGAGCGGGCAGGGTGCTGCCCCCAGGCCCAGCCCGCCTCCGGAGGGCGCAGAGCCCAGGCGGGATGGGGGCGCTCACCGGAAAATGGGCCCCAGCTCCTGGAAGGCCTGCTGCATCTGCAGGTGCAGGTCCTCCGAGCCCTCCCTCCAGACGCGCAGCACCCGCAGCCACCTGCTGCCCGGGCACCGGGGCATGGCCTCGAAGGGCAGCGCTGCCCTGGGGGCCGCAGCCGCGCTGGTGCCCAGTGCCCGTGCCCAGCGCAGGGGCTGCTGGGGCCCTGCCATCGTCACGGCCGCCCTGGCCCGGAATGCCATGCCTGGCTCCCTCCGCCCCTCGCCCTACCCTCTTATCTCGCTCAGAGGCCTGACTCTCTGATGGCGTCATGGGAGAAAGTGTCCCTGGGCCAGGCCAGGGTGCCCGGGAAGGGGTCAGGGCTGGGGGGTCCCCCAAAGGAGAGGGATGAGGTGGGCAGGCGCCTTGTCCGGGTCCATGCAGCCTGCTGTGGGGTGGTGGGTGCCCCGGGCAGGTGCGGGGTCGGGCTGGGGGCTGGATCAGGCTGGGCTAGACCAGGCCTCACGCCCCCCACCTTGAAGGGAGCAAGATGGATGGGCTCCTTATCTTATCAGATGAGAGAGGGGCCTTGGGTATTTTTATCTCATTCCAGGAGGCGGGGCTGAGCTGTCCTTCTCTTTCTGACTGAGTGGCTACAGGGAGTGAGACAGCGCTGGCAAGGGTCCCTCCCAGGGGGACTTCCCGCCCCAGGCAGTTAGGGGACCCAAAGGTGGCACGGGGGTGGCACAGGGACCTGTCCGTCTGGTCCATGAGGGCACTCCCCAGGCTGAGGAGGAGACAGCTTGCGTTGGACGTGCCGCCCCAAGGCTGCGGCGGTGCCACACCTGCTTGCTCACCCTGAGCGGGCTCTCAGGGGCCAGGCCTCGGGGGCAGATGGAGTGGCGGTGGGCTCCCCACTCTCCTGGGGCCGTCCGAGCAGGCGCACCGCGGAGCGGGCCCGGGCAGGGTACGGTGGCCGGGCAGCGCTCCCACAAAGTGGGTCTCGCCATCGCTGTTCCCATTTTCAGACAAGGAGATGGAGGCCTAGGGCTTCTGTGACCTCCCGAGGTTCCCAGAGCTGTGCCTCCCAGCCTGACCCTGATTTGGGACTGGAGCAGGGCCATGGGGCCTCGGCTCAGGCTCCAGAGGAAGGACGGAGGGCCACACTCCCAGGGCTGTTTTGTTTTCCCCCTAAATATAATTTACTAGAGGCCTGGTGCACGAAATTTCTGCATGGTAGGATCTCTAGGTCTGGCTGGCCATCAGGGCTGATCAGCCCGGCAACTGGCTGGGCGATCAGGCCCTCCCACTGGCACCCGCCTTGGCTGGCTTGGGCCTGTGGGCTGGGGGTAGTTCCTGCATTGAGCATCTGCCCCCTGGTGGTCAGTGCTTGTCATAGTGACCGGTTGTTCCACCATTTGATTGATTTGCATATTAGGCTTTTATTATTACAGATTGATTTCAGAGAGGAAGGGAGAGGGAGAGAGAGAAACACCAATGATTAGGGAAAACCTTCCACCGGCTGCCTCCTGCATGCCCCACCCTGGGGATTGAGCCCACAACCCAGCCATGTGCCCTGACCCAGAACTGAACTGTGACCTGCTGGCTCCTGGCAGTGTTCCCTTTTTCCCTGCTCGGAGCTGCCCAAGGACTCTTCCTCTGGCGATGAGTCAGGCCGTGCCAAGGCCCCTTCGGACAGGGGAGACGGATGGTGTACCTCAGCGCCGTGGTGACGGCCGTCCTTGGGCAGGGACGCGGGGCGGCCTGACCTTGGCCAGCAGGTGCAGCGGCCCTGCCCCCACCGGATGCCCCTCCTGCTGCCCGCCCTGCCCGAGTGCCCTCCACCCCCACCCTCTGGTCCCCTGCTCTGCTCTTGGGCTTTGGGGGATGTAGACATGTGCCCCTCTTTGATGTCCACAGACACAGCCCCAGGAAAGCTGGGCCGAGCCTGTGCCCGCCCGCAGGAGCTGACCTGGGCGCCCCCTGCAGGCTGTGAGAGCCGAGGAGAAAGAGGAGGTGTGAAGCAGCCGGCAGGAAAGACACAGCTACGTACGTGGAGCGAGGAGCACGAGGCTAGGCCTTCGGAAGGGAACAGGAACTCAGACTTTGGGGTCAGGAAGGGCTGGCACTCCTCCCCGCTCCCCCCACGCACAGGAAACAGGGAGCGGGCCTCAGGCAGAGGGAGGAGGATCCCAGGTGAGAGGAGAAAGGAAGTCAGAACACAGGGGCCAAAGCAGAGGCTGATAAACTAGTCAACACTGACCGTCTTCAATAACATCTTGTGGGACTGACACACACAACAGACATAATTAACAAAACAAAAACGGTGTCACCGAGAACAGAAATCTGGGACCCAAAGACTTACAGAGCCCGGCAACAACATGCCCCGCCCACAATCCTGCGGTGCCCACAGACACAGGGACAGAGCTCCCGGGAGCCCTGCAGGGCGAGGCCTGGGGTCCCCTGTTGTCCCCAGAGCCCATCAACGCCCAAAATGGAGGGCAAGAGGGTGTGCCCCGGGGCCTCAGCCAACAGGAGCCCGCGCTCCGGGGCCAGAACCCGCCGTCAGGGCGGTGTCCCCCGAGGGGCCAGGGGAGGGGCTCCTGGTGCTCCTGGCTCCCGGCCGCATCCTTCAGTCTTCACATGGACCCTCCTTCTCCTGCATGTTCACGTGCGCACTCCCGGCCGATCATGTGGCCCCGGCCCTGTTCCTGGGTGCAGGTGAATCACCCACAGCCCGTGCGGAGCACAAGGCGGGCAGGGGCTTCCTGGAGGGCACACAGCCCAGAGGCAGAGCCGCAGAGGGAACAGGGGCCGCCCCGCCTGCGTCTTCCTGACCTGTGACCTCTGGGTAAGACGTGGATTGGGGTCTGCAAACCGGCCAGCTGACCCCCTGCCCGGGCCGCCTCCACATCCCTGATGCCACCCACCTCCGCGGCAGCACCTCTCACCCCGGGGCCCCGCGGCGCCCAGCACCCTCAGCCCCTGCAGCCCCGGGACCCGCCGAGCCCGGCCCCCCGGCCCCCCGGCCCAGTCCCCCAGGTCCGGCCTGCAGCCCGGGCCCTCACACCGCCTTGGGCAGGGGGGTGCGGACCCAGGGGGCATCCGCCTCGGCATGGCTCCGTCCAGCTCCTGGAGGTCCGGCCGCGCAGTGCGGCCGCCGCGGGGACAGCTGTGGCGCCCCTGCCCGCCGCCCTCCCCGCGGAAGGGGGTCCGGCTGTGGCTCCGCCTCGGCGGCGGCGACGCTGCGCCCTCTGCCGGCCGGCCCGTTCCTGCAGGCGGTAGAGCCGTCCCCGCGGGCGCCAGGCCGCTTCCAGGCGGGTCAGAGCCAGGCCGGCCTCCCGCAGCCCGACCGGCCGAGCGGGCCTGGGGCCGGGGGCTCTGCCGGAGCCGTGTGGCCGCGCCGCCGCAGAGGTGCGGGGGGCAGAGGCGGAAGGCTGCGGAGGGGAGCGCCGGCCTCGCCGCCTCCGGGGCGCCCCCCGCGGGGCAGGCGGTGCGGCTCCCGCTGGGGGAGGAGCGCGCCGCCCGGAGCCGGGCTCCTGCGGGACACGGAGCGCCGGCGCCCGGGAGGCTGTGTCCGTGGCCCCCGCCGTCCGCCCGGGACGCCGCCCGGTGACCGCACAGCCCGGCGGCCCCGCCCCTCCCCCCCCCCCCCCCGCCCGATCGGACCCATCCCGGCCCGGTCCCTGCTGGAGGGAACGAAGGATGCTCGAACCCGGAACCGCAGCGCCGCAGGGCCTGCTGGGAGGGCGTGGGCTGGGTCAGGGTGTTGCTGTTTCCATTGATCCCGGGCCCCGGGCCCCGGGCTGCCTCCTCCCACACCGGCCCAGCCCGCAGCCCAGGCGGGTGCCCTCGAACCGGGACCGAACCGGGCCCTCCCGCCCGCAGGCCGCGCAGGAGGCCTGCTGACCCGGCGGTGAGGCCTGTTCTCCAGGGGAGCCCGGCATCTTTGGGTCTTTTGTCACCGCGGGAGCATGAACGGACCATGTCACTGTCCCCTGCCCTTCTGGAACCTTCTCTCCCCCCAGCGCCTGCCCTTCTGGAACCTTCTGCCCCCCCACCCCCAGTGCCTGCCCTTCTAGAACCTGCTCTCCCCCAGCACCTGCCCTCTGGGACCTGCTGGAACCTTCTGCCCGCCCAGCACCTGTCCTTCTGGAACCTTCTGCCCGCCCAGCGCCTGCCCTTCTGGAAGCTTCTGCCCGCCCAGCGCCTGCCCTTCTGGAAGCTTCTGCCCGCCCAGCGCCTGCCCTTCTGGAACCTTGGCCCTCGCCGGCGGGTGCCAGGCCTGGCGCTGAGCGCGGGGCCTTCTGGGAGCGCATCCTGGGGCGGCCTCAGGCCCAGCGGCTCCTGCGGCGCATGCGCAGCTTCTGGAAGGTTCGGCTTCGAGGTTCAGGCGCCACAGGGACCAGGCAGGTGCGGACGGAGACCGGGGTGCGGCGGCTCCCCAGTCCCGGCCCCAGGCCCCGCTGCAGGGAAGGGGTGCTCGCTGAGGAACATTCCAGAAGGAGCCCAGCGCCTCATGCTGCAGGGACCTCGGCGCCCAGGGGGTGACCCGCGGTGGGCGGGCACAGTCGAAGGGCGGGGAAGGGGGCGGGAGGAGCGGGGGCGGGGCGGGGCGGGGCGGTCCCCGCTGGGCGTTGGGATGGACACAGGCCCAGGCGGGCCCACGGGGCTGTCGGGGGAGGAGCAGGAGGGCGGGCCCTGCGTCCAAGGCAACACGCTTTGATGGACACCTGGTGCCGAGCTGACCGACAGCCCTGCTTCTGTCCAGGGCCAGCTCCGCGCGAGATGACGGTCCTCCTGGCCTTCCTCCTGGCCGTGGGCCTGCCGTGGGTGGAGACCAACGTCACCGAGATCGGGAGGCAAGGTGGGTCCTGCGGGACCCAGCCCCGGCGCAGAGCCGGAACCAGGGCTGGGCCCACCGCAGGAGGAGGTTCCGGGCGGTGGGCGGTGGGCGGTGGGTGGGCCGAAGGGGCAGACTCCAGAGCTGGGGTCTCTGTTCCCGGAGCAGCAGGATGTGGACGCCAGGTGTGTGTGTGTGTGTGGGGGGGTCCTGGGTGAGGTGTGGGGTCCATGCCTGGGTCTGTGCCTGCTGTGTGTGTGGGTGTGGAGGAGGGAGACACACCCTGTGGGCGCGAGGGAAGCCTCAGAAAGACCAGGAACTCAGCCAGATGCTCTGTGGGGTGTGGGAAGGCTGGGCCCCCTGGAGGAGGGGGGTATCCCACCCTCTTCTTCCTTCCAGGTGGCCTTATGTGCCACGTCTGCGAGGAATTCTACAGTTTGTCTTGCACCAAACCCACCAGTTGTGAAACCGACGATACATTTTGTGTGACTGTCATCGTGAGTAAGTTGCGCTGACCCTGAGCAGCACGGTGTGAGCTGGGAGGTCCATTTACTGGGGGATTTTCCCAGCTGAACGTGTGTTCACCGGTGCTGGCGAAGGTCCAGACCAGCCACACCAGCCTGGCAGCGAGCGGCTCCCTGGAGGCCAGCTCCGCCCTGGGCGCTGGCTCGGCTTGTCCGGGGTCCCTGGCTCCCATGCGCTTGTGTGTGGTCACGGAGGTCTGAGCAGCCCTGTGGAGGCTACGCCGCCTGCGCACTCGACAGAGCCCCAGGCCAGGCGTGCGGCATAGACACCAGCCACACGCTCAGCCACGCAGGCCTGTCCCTCGTCCTGCCCGCGGAGGACTGAGGGCGCCGGAGGCTCAGGGCGGGCAGACCCGTGCGCAGCGGTGCCCCTGCGCCCATGCAGCGGCTGCTGCTGTCTGCTCCCTCAGGGATGCTGGTGCGTTTCTTCTACGTGTCCCGGCAGTGCACCAGGTCCTGCCCGACGATCAGGTCCATCGACAAGCAGGTGGAGCCCTACAAGTCCTACGTCCTCCTGCAGCCGACGCCGTTCCTCTACGCCTCCTGCTGCAACACGCCCCTGTGCAACACCGACAGCCCGTTCATCAACGACACCGAGTGGAAATACTACCGCAAGGCGGGGGGCGCCCGCGCCCTGCGCTGCGGCTGTGCCGGGCCGGTGCTGCTCCTGGCACTCGCCGCCATGTCCCTGGGCCTCAGAGGGCCCTGCGTGCAGGGCCAGCCGGGTGGGCCCTCCATGGGGGAGCTGTGGCATTAAACTATGTTCCCTGATGGACGTGTGGCTGGCTCTGAGGGGCGCTGGGATGGGAGGTGGGGGGCCGGGGCCGGCCCGCCGTCTGCACTCAGCTGTGTTCACAAAGGGGGGCCAGCTTGTGGGGACGGTGATGACAGGGACACACATCACCAGCCAGTCAGGATGCAATATGGGAAGTAGGAAGAAAAAAGGAGACATTCTGTTTATTCCTTTCTACTTTTAAAAAATACGTTCTTTATTGATTTTTTAGAGGAAGTGAGGGAGAGAGAGGCTGACACATGGTTGTCCCTGGAGCAGTGACCAGCTGCCTCCTATACGCCCCCTACTGGTGCCTGTCTGAAGTGAAGCCTTGTCACCTATGGCCAGCAGCCTCTCTCCCACCTCCCAGGGCTGCAGTAAGGGGGCTGGAGTCCCACCGTGGAGAGGAGCTTCTGGCTATGCCCTCTGGGGTTCACAGGTTCAGTGAATGGGGAGGAGGGACCCCTCGCGTGGAGCGGGTGAAGCCTGGGGCCCTGTCTGAGGAGGGAGACTGCGGCTGCTCCTCCTGAGCTCCTCCTCCTGTCCCCGAGACACAGCAGTGCCCCTGCACGGACCTGGACTTGCCCCCACGGCACCAGCGTGCGGACCCCCACCCCCCGCCTCGTCCCCCCGCACCTCCGGCAGGTGGACGCGTTGGGGCCCACGCTGTGCACACCTTTACGGTGCGCCATGGAAGAGGCCGGAGGTCAGGCTCCAGGCGGGCGGAGCAGGTGCCCCTGCCTGGGGTGCACTCAGTGGGGCAGGCGGTCTGGAGCCTCCCAGAAAGCCTCTGGCCCCAGAAGGAGGCAGGTGGGGCAGGCAGAGGGGTGTTCTGTGCCGTCCCTGAGTCACTCCTGAGCCCTCAGTCTCTCGGGGGGACAGGCGCAGCCCCTGTGGTGGGCCAGCAGTCCCGGGCGGGGCGCATTTGTGGCCTCTGTTCTCCTCCCTGTGCTCACCCCTGCCCGCAGCCACCGCTCACACGCGTGGGCTGGGAGCAGCCCTGGGGCTGGGGCGGCCGGCGGGCGCTGCTGGAGGCGGAGCACAGAGACCGGCCCGGCAGGGCGTCTCCATCGGGAGCGGGGAGGGCGAGGGAGGGCGAGGGAGAGGCGCCATCGCAGAAAAGGACTGCCGTGGGCAGGATAACGGTGCCTGGGACAGGCTGCGGCAGAGACGTGCTCACCACTGGGCGACCCCAGGGGAGCAAGTGACCCGCGGGAGGAGGGCAATGGGTGATCATGTCAAATCAGCGGAGGGAGAGCCCCCCCGGCCCGGCCGTGGCCCAGAAACACCCACATCCCAGGGGAGCGGGCGGAGGAGGGCGCGGCTGCCCACCGGGAGCGCGGGTGCAGGCGCGGGGGCTTCTGGGAGCGCTGGCGCCCTGGGGGCGGGGTCTCCAGAGGCCCCACTGGCTCCCGTCGTGCTTCGCGCAGCTTCTTGAAGGTTCTGCTTCACTCTCGTGACAGTTGGGCCAGTGCAGAAGGCTCTAGAAGGCTGGGGCTTCGGGAGACGGTTCCGTAAGGTCAGGGAGGTTTGGGGGGAGGGACTCTAGAACTTCGGGGTGCTGGGGGGACAGGGTTCTAGAAGGGCAGGAGCTTTGGGGGCGTGGTTCCAAAGGGCTGGGAGCTTGGGGTAGAAGGGAGACATGGAAGGTTCCAGAAGGTCTGGGAGCAACGTGGGTGGGGCCGCAGACCCAGACCTCAGCCTCGGCTCAGGGTTCGGTCCTGGGGGGCAGCCCTGGGGCTTGGGCCTGGGCATAGGGGCACCCCGCCTGCCCAGCGCCAGCCCCGCCCCTGCCCGCCCACCTGCGCCCTGGCCTCCCCGCAGGTCCGTGGTGCCGCGATGCTGCTGCTGCTGCTGTGCACCCTGCTCCTGGCCAGGCTGCCGCATTCGCTTTCGCAGGAGGACGAGGAGGAGGAGGAGGATAAGAGGAAGCCTCAAAAGTGTGAGTGCCAGGGCCCCCAGGGACCAGGTCCTGGGAAGGTTGGGGTGCAGGTCCCCCCTCTTCACCAGCCGGGGACCCTGGTCCCCGAGCCACGAGGGGCCCAGGAGGATGGGGGGAAGGCCTTGGTCTGGAGCCGCGCCCTGGAAACCTGGGGCTCCTGCTGCTGGCAGGCAGCAGGGGTGCTGGGTCCAGCGAGCTCTGGGGGTCCTGGCCCCTGAGGGGGCCGCACCCGCAGAGCAGAGGCGTCCACCACCACGGGGGCTCCGTGGCCTGCCTCCGGGGACCGGTGCGGCTCCCGGTGGCCTTGGCTGCTGGGCAGGGAGCTGGTGCTGCCGGCCTCGCAGCCCCCCAGCTGGGCCTTGCGCACCTGGTCATCCAGGCCGGAGGGGCGGGGGGGAGCAGCCCTGAGGGCCCTCTCTTCTCAGTCACCTACAGACTGAAATGCTTCGAGTGTGCGACCATCAACACCTTCCAGTGCCCGGAGATTAAGGAGTGCCTGTACGAGATCCGGCGCTGCATGACCATCTCCATCCGTGAGTGCCCGCCCCTGGGGCGGCGCCGGCGGCTGCTCTGCCCGCCCCCAGAGCCGCGTGCTGGGAGGGCGGCTGGCAGTGGACGAGGCTCCCAGGGTGCCCAGCGGCTGGCAGCGAGGCCTCCGCCTGTGCCCCCTGCGGCCCGGCGGTTCCTCCTGCTGCCGGCCGAGGAGTGGCGCCCTGGCCTCCGGGGACAGTGCCTGCCGCAGAGGAGGCCAGGCGGGGCAGAGCAGACCGGCCTTGCAGGCGCTTCTCCTGCCCTGCGTCCCTGCCCGCTCCCGCTGGCCAGTGCACCTGTTCTCGGTGAGGATGGAGCACATGGAACGGGCCCGTCAGTGTGGCCGTGACCAGGTCCCTCACCGCGGGCCCAGGAGGTGCTGCGGTGCCGAGGGGAGTGACCGGCCCGCGGGTGGACTGGACGTTCTTTGTCAGCCAAGAATTCCATCCAGGGCCTGGCCAGTGTAGTTCAGTGGTTGGGCATCGTCCCAGGCCTGGAAAGGTTGCTTTCTAGTTCCTGCCCAGGGCACACTCCTGGGTCGGCTCGGCCCCCATGCGGGTGTGCAGGGGGCAGCGGGAGGTGGTCTCTTCATCGCTGTTTTGCTCTCTCCCTCTCCTGGCCTCTCTGAAAAAGTCAATTTAAAATTTAAAATAAAAGAATTCTAACAATGTAGCGACATTTGGGTGAGGGTGTGGGCACGGCATAGCCCATGAGCGTGAGGGTGAGGGTGAGGGAGAGGGTGAGGGAAAGGGTGAGGGAGAGGGAGAGGGTGAGGGTGAGGGAGAGGGAGAGGGAGAGGGAGAGGGTGAGGGAGAGGGAGAGGGTGAGGGTGAGGGAGAGGGTGAGGGAGAGGGTGAGGGAGAGGGTGAGGGAGAGGGTGAGGGTGAGGGAGAGGGAGAGGGTGAGGGTGAGGGTGAGGGTGAGGGTGAGGGTGAGGGAGAGGGTGAGGGAGAGGGTGAGGGAGAGGGAGAGGGAGAGGGGGAGGGAGAGGGCGAGGGTGAGGGAGAGGGTGAGGGAGAGGGTGAGGGTGAGGGTGAGGGTGAGGGTGAGGGTGAGGGAGAGGGTGAGGGTGAGGGTGAGGGTGAGGGTGAGGGTGAGGGTGAGGGTGAGGGAGAGGGAGAGGGGGAGGGAGAGGAGAGGGAGAGGTGAGGTGAGGTGAGGGTGAGGTGAGGTGAGGGTGAGGATGAGGGTGAGGGAGAGGGTGAGGGAGAGGGTGAGGGTGAGGGTGAGGGAGAGGGAGAGGGAGAGGGAGAGGGTGAGGGAGAGGGTGAGGGAGAGGGTGAGGGAGAGGGTGAGGGAGAGGGTGAGGGTGAGGGTGAGGGAGAGGGTGAGGGAGAGGGTGAGGGTGAGGGAGAGGGTGAGGGAGAGGGTGAGGGTGAGGGAGAGGGTGAGGGAGAGGGAGAGGGTGAGGGAGAGGGAGAGGGAGAGGGTGAGGGTGAGGGAGAGGGTGAGGGAGAGGGTGAGGGAGAGGGAGAGGGAGAGGGTGAGGCTGAGGGAGAGGGTGAGGGTGAGGCTGAGGGAGAGGGTGAGGGTGAGGCTCACAGTGAGGGAGAGGGTGAGGGTGAGGGTGAGTGTGCCTGGTGTTCACGTGAAAGCGGGAGCAGTGGTTCTGTCCGGGTTCCTTTTCAGGCCTGAACTCCCGGGAAATACTCGTGTACAAGAACTGCACCAACAACTGCACGTTCGTGTACCCGTCCGAGGAGCCGCCCGAGGCCCCCAGGGTCCTGAGGACCAACAGCTTCTACTGGGTGTACTGCTGCGGAGCCATGAACTGCAACGTGGGGGGGCCCACCAACCTGGAGCGGGACATCCTCCCGGACCTGACCATCGAGGAGGACCTGCAGGGCGCCGTGGGCCCGGGCGGCGGGCCGCTCTGGGGCGTCCTCCTGAGCTGCGCCTCCCTCCTGCTCAGCGGCGCCCTGACCTGAGGGTCCTGGCCTCTGTGCTGGGCCCCGCCTCCCCTCCCCCTTCCTCAGAGCAAGTCCACGCCCCTGTGCTGTCAGGTGGGCCCCGCTGGCCAGTCCCCATTCTAACAAGGCTCAGGCGAATAAAGAGCTTCTGCTGGCGCTGCCCCTGGGGCTCATTTGTGGGCTGTGCTGATGGCGTCCTTCCTGGCACCGCCGCCCGCCCGCGGGCCACAAAGCCGCGTGGTTCCAGGGAGGCGTCTGGAGCGGAGCCAGCTGCCCGGAGCTCCGCCCTCGGCCCTCGCTGGCCTGCAGGGCTGGGCTGGGCGGCCAAGCAGAGCTGTGCCTGGTGCCCAGGGCCCTGCCATAGGGACGGCCCAGCGTTCCTGTGAGTCACCAGGCTCTGCAGGAACTGGTCATCTTCCCCCGTGACAGCCGAGGAGGGCGAGGGACCCCAAAGCCGGCCGCGATGGCCTGGAAATCAGGGAGTCCGGCGTTGCTGGCGTGGGGCTCTGGCAGGCGAGTCAGGAGAGGCCTGCCGCCTGCTCCCGCCGGTTCCCGGGTGGCGGTGATGGCTGATCTGGGCGTCTGACTGGGCGGGCTCCGTGCTGTGGCTGTTCACAGCGAGCCGCCATCACTCCCCCGCAGGACACTTCACCCACAGAGAACCTGCATCACGTTCCCCAGCCGCAGGCTGAGCGGCTCAGCAGGCTCCCAGGAGCCGCGTCTGCGGACGAGGCTGGAGAGGATGATGGAGGGGAAGCTCCGATCCCAGCGGGACCAGCCGGGAGGGCTCCCGTGGAGATGGCGCCGCCCAGTCCCCTGAGGCGGTCTCCACCCCTGGCCCTGACGCCCGCGCAGCCTCTCCCGGTGGGTGAGGGTCCGGCAGGAGGCAGAGTGAATGGGGAGGAGGGACCCCTCGCGTGGAGCGGGTGAAGCCTGGGAGCCTGTCTGAGGAGGGAGACGGCGGCTGCTCCTCCTGAGCCCTCCTCCTGTCCCGGAGACACAGCAGTGCCCCTGCACGGACCTGGACTTGCCCCCACGTCACCAGCGTGCGGACCCCCCCCCCCCCCCGCCTCGTCCTCCCGCACCTCGGGCAGGTGGACGCATTGGGGCGCTCCTGGAGTTAGGATTTAGGGTGTGGGGCCCCTCTTCTCTAAGGCGATGCTCGGCTCCCAGGCCCGAGGGCCACAGCGTGGAGGGGCGGCTGTCCCGGTCACCCTGCTCAGTGCACAGGGAGGTGAGCAGTGACCGTTCGGAGTCTCTGGCCCAGAGACGCTCCGAGGGCCTCTGGCCGGCGTCTCCGAGCGGGACGTTGCCAGGGTTCGTGAGGCCAGTTGAGGGATGGTTCTGGAGGAGGGGGCACGCTGCAGGGGCTGCGCGCCCCTAGCGGCCGGGCCGGGCACTGCCGCGCGCTGTCCTTAAAGGGGGTGGTGAGCGGACGCGACCCAGCGGCTAGAGTAGGGGTGTCGAACTCAATCAGAGAAGGGGCCAAAATCTAAAATCCAGCCTAAATCGCGGGCCGAATGGTTTACTGAACAGTCATAAACTGTCATTGTGATGGAAACGCAGCGGAGTGCAGTGATGACAGCGCGGTGCGGGCCACATTGCAAGGCCTGGCGGGACGGATTTGGCCCGCGGGCCTTGTGTTTGACACATGTGGGCTAGAGGGAAGGTGGAGGCGGCAGAGACTGTGGTAAACGGCAGACACCCAAGGCCTGGGGGACCTCCTACAATCAGGTCGAACGTAAACCAGGGAAGCGTCATTCAAAATCGACCGACCGGCCCCAGTGGCTCCAAGGCTGGGCGTCGACCTATGGGGTCACGGTTCGATTGCCGCTCAGGGCGCACGCCCCGCGGCTGGCTCCAGCCCCGTGAGGTGTGTGCAGGCGGCAGCTGACCCATGGTTCTCTCCCGTCACGGATGCTCCTATTCCTCCCTCCCGCTCCCTTCCTCTCTGAAGTTAATGAAAATAGACTTACACTAAGATGGACCCCGAGCCCCATGGGGATCCCTGCACGGGCCCTGGCAGGCAGAGGCGGCTGCATCGGGGGAGTTCCTCCTCGTCAGCCGCCCGGGGGCCGGGACACCCAGCCCTCCTGTTCCCTCCGGCCCCTCCCACCTCCTCCTTTTCTCCGTCCAGTCCCGCTGTCTGCAGGACGCTGGGGCCAGCATGCGGCTTGTGCCGGATCGCAGTCCTCTGCTGTTCCCCAGGCCCCGCATTCCACTGGCCTGCCCCGTCCCCCTGCGGCCCGGCCGCTGGGACAACCCGGTGTAACCAGTTTGCCGCCACCTCGGTCCCGGGAAGTACCGGCTGCCCACGCGCAGGAGCACGCGCGTCCTGCATCCTGGCTTCTTGTTGCCCAGACAGCCACCCCCGGAGACCCCGAGAAAATTACCGCCGCTCTCCTCCCTCACCCGGGGCCGCCTCCCAGGGGCCCGGAGGGAAGCGGGCGGCGGCTCCTGGGCGGGTGGGCGCACTCAGAGGCCACCCCCGGCGGCACGGCGAGGCGGCACGCTCCCAGCGGCAGGGGGCGGGCAGGGGCCAGGCGGGGCAGGACAACTCCCAGCCACCCTGCTGCTCAGGCCCCTGGCTTCCCACCGGCTGGACACCGACAGGCCCTGGAGACGTGCTCTGTCCTGAGCAGGCAGGCACTCTGTCCCCTGCACTCTGGCCACAGTCTGAGACTAGGACAGTTCCCATGGCCAAGCTCAGGCTTCACAGGAGACCTGGGCAGAGCTGTGTGTCCAGGGTCAGGGTCAGGGTGACCAGGGTCAGGGTCAGTGTGACCAGGTCCAGGGCTCAGTGTGACCGGGGTCAGACTCAGTGTGACCAGGGTCAGGCTCAGTGTGACCAGGGTCAGGGTCAGGGTGACCAGGGTCAAGGGTCAGGCTCAGTGTGACCAGGGTCAGGCTCAGTGTGACCAGGCCCAGGGCTCAGTGTGACCAGGGTCAGGCTCAGGGTGACCAGGGTCAGGGTCAGGGTGACCAGGGTCAGGGTCAGGGTCAGTGTGACCAGGGTCAGGGTGACCAGGGTCAGGGTCAGGGTCAGGGTGACCAGGGTCAGGGTCAGGGTGACCAGGGTCAGGGTCAAGGTCTCTCAATGGAGGGACGAAGCTCCTCTGGGCTGGCAGGACCCCAGCCCCGGCCGCAGCCCAGCCACCCCCCCCCCGCCCGTTTCCTCCCCCGCTGCCCTGAACACCCCTGGGCTCCCGCCAGCCACAGGCCAGAGTCTGGGCTCCGCCGGTGAGCACCAGCCTGCGGCAGGCGAGGAGCAGATGCCTGGCTCCTTCGGGGCGGTGGGGCCTCCGCGGGGCTGCAGTCTGTGCCCCCAAGTGCTCACAGCCCGGCCGGGTGGCCCTCGTGAACAGCGAGCGTGGCCTCTGGACCAAAGGCCCCGGGTTCGATTCAGTTGCAGCTCCTCCCGGCCCGGGGCTGGTCTGGGCACGTGCAGGAGGCAGCTCCTCTCACGTGGATGCTTCTGTCTCTCCCCCCCCCCCCCCTCCCTCAGGGTCGGCGGGAAGTGCCGCGGGAGGAGGAGGACAAAGGGCGGAGAAGGCTCAGGCTCCTCAGGCGCCCACATTCCCCACGGAGACCCAGCAGCAGACACGCTGCGCCTGCCTGCGGAACGCCAGCCGCCTGGCCCCGGGAGGGTGTGGGGACCCCGTCGCCTGGCTTGGCGGGTCCTCCTGTCCCGGGGCTCCCCCTCTGCCCTCAGGGTCTCCCCTCCTCACCCCAACTTCACCGCGCACAGGCCCCGGGGCGACGCCTGACTGGCCTCTGGGAACCGGCTCTCCCACGCTGCTCGGCCCCCTCACTCCCAGGCCCGTCCCTGCCGGGACTCGCCTTCCTGGGAACGGGCAGGGAGTGCCCAGCAGGAAGGCTGCAGAATGTTCCTGGCCCTGGGCACCACCTGCCCCTCCCTGCGGCCTCGGAGCAGGGCCCAGGGCCGCCCGCGCCCGCATTCCACACAACGGCCCCAGCCATGTGCCCCTCCCTTTTTAAAGATGTTCTGTCGATCCGGAAGGAAGGGGAGAGGGAGCCCGGGACCGCCGCCTCCTGCCGCCCCCACGGGGGTCGAGCTCACAGCCCACACGTGCGGACGGGGAATCGAACCTCGGCCTTCTGGTTTGTAGAGGCAGAGCCAGGAGTGTCCTCAGATCTGGGCAGGGGGCTGGGGCGGGTCCGGGGAGACCCGGCCTGGGCCCAGGACGGCTGCAGGCGGGGCCCCAGGCTTGGAGGGCAGGGGGAGGGGGAGGTGGGCAGGAGGGGTGAATGGCGTGGATGTCACAGGGTCCTCAGAGCCAGGCCTGGAGGTGGACAGCAGGGACCACGTGCCGGCTGGAGTGCTGGGCCCCTCAGAGCGACCGCCGCGGCACCCCGAGGAGGCCGCTGGAATGCAGGGTCTCAGGCCAGCACTGACCAGGGCCCTGAGCAGCCACACCGAAGGTCCAGACACGGGTCCAAAGCCGACTTTCAGCTCCGCGTGCCTCAGTTTCCCCACTGCCCCGCCTGTCCAGGGCTGTGTCCTGAAGACCAGACCCCAGGCAGGGCCATGTCCCCCGGCCCCCCAGAGTGAGCTGCACCCCACAGACCGCTGTCCCTGTGCCTGCTTAAAAAAAAAAATAATATATATATATATATATATATATATATATATATATATACACACACACACATATATATATACACACACACATATGTATGTGTGTGTGTGTATATATATATATATATATATATATATATATATATAGTTATTATTTATTCAGAGAGGAAGGAGAGGGAGAGAGAGGAAAGGCAAGAGAGAAACGTCAATGGTGACAGACAATCATGGGTCGGCTGCCTCCTGTACGACCCCACTGGGGAGCGGGCCTGATTGGGGATCGAACCCTGACCTGGTTCATAGGTCGACGCCAAACCACTGAGGCCCGCCAGCCGGGCTGTGCGTGGTTCTTGCTCCCCAGCCCGGCCTGGGGCAGCTGGCCGTGCAGGAGCGAGGACCCCCAGGCTCAGGGCGGAGGGCGGCGAGGGCCCATGGCCTCGGGGAGCACGCGGGGGCTGGGGGCGGGGACAGCGCGCCCCAGGCCGGCGGCCGCTCCCCTCGCTCATCCCCGGTAAATTACTGGGTCCGCCGGCGGCCGCGGTATAAAGCCGCCCGCACACTGGCGCCCCGTCCCTGCCGCGGACGCCCCACCATGAGGCCAGCGCTGGTGCTCCTGCTTCTGGCTGTGCTGTGCGCCGGCGCGGGTAAGGCCGCCCGCAGTGCCGGGCAGTGCCGGACGGCAGGGCCGGGGCGGGGGCTGGCAGCGCCGGGGGGCCTGAGGCCAGGGCCCCGCGCTGCTCCCGGCCTCGGGGTCCCCTGGGCCCTGTTTCTGGTCAGCTCGGTCCTTGTCCTGGGGGAGCAGGGAGATGGGGGCCTGCGGACCCCGGGCTGGCCGGGCCTGGGGCTCAGGGGCGTCTGAGGGGCCTGTTTCCCGAGGGCAAAGGGGGTTCCTGGGAGGCGGGACTCTCGGGCTAAAGCCCGGAGAGCGAGGGTGCTGGCCTCTCAGCCCAGCCGGGCCCCGTGAGCAGGCCGGGGCACGGAAACGGAACCGAGGCCTGGGGAGGGGGGTGGCTCAGCTGGTGATTATCAGCCTGATAATTACCCCCCAGAGCTAATTACCCCCCACTCAGGGCTAATTACCCCCCCCTAGCCTGGGCGTGGGGCCGATGAGCCTCCTGAGTGCCTGCCCCAGGCGGGGGTGGGGGGGTGGAAATGGGGGTGGCCACTCAGGGAGCTGGAGGCAGGCGGAGGGCAAGGCCGGGGGTGTGGGCCACCCCAGACGTCGGAGGAGCCAGGCACCCCGCCCGCCCCGCAGCCCCAGGCACCACACAGAGACTCCGCTGCCTCTTTTAACACACAAATATTTTACACTTTCTTTTTCAAATTTATTTTTTTTATTGATTTCAGACAGGAAGGGAGCGGGAGAGAGAGATAGAAACAACAATGATGAGAGAGAATCATTGATCGGCTGCCTCCTGCACGCTCCCCCCTGGGGATGGAGCCCAAAACCTGGGCATGTGCCCTGACCGAGAATCGAACCGGGGACCCTTCAGTCCGCAGGCCGATGCTCTGACCACTGAGCCACACCAGCTAGGGTGAGGCCTATTCTTCTTGGAGGTCCCAGGACCCTGGCCTGGGGAGCAGGGCCTCTGAGCTGGGGGTGAGGGGGCGCTGAGCTCACCTCCTGCTGGACCGGGGTCCAGCCACCTGCGCCCCCCACACTCCACAGGGGAAAGGGGCTCCGACATCGGTGGGTCCAGCCGGGGGAGGCGCCAGCCCCCAGGTCAGAGCGGGCCGCCTCACCCTGCAGGACCGGCACAGGCAGCCCTCGTGAGAACCCCCCAGGCACCTGGCTGCCTCCGGAGCCCTGGCCACAGGCCCTCCTCCCTCAGCACAGGCCCCACTGCGACCGGCTCCTGCTCCCCATCTGCGCCCCTGCCCGGCACAGCTCTGGGGTCCCCCGGCCTGGTCCCCGCCCTGCACTGCTCCCCGAGGGCCGCTCCGCAGATAGCACGCAGACACCACCGAGACTGTCCAGGCCACTCACCCCGGGAAGCCTTCCCGGCCCCCCCCCCCCCCGCCTCTCTCGGACCCCGGCCCTCGGCCAGGTGTCCCCCAGGCAGCCAGGGGGGAGCGGGGTGGCCCAGCCCCGGAGCCTTGTGCTCATTCCCTGTCCCGGGACCAGCAGGCGGGTGGAGGGCCAGGCCCCCCTGAAGGGCCAGGGGCGGGGTCACCACAGGCCGGTTCATCCGTTCACTGAGCCGCGCAGGGACCTACTGCGCGCACCGTTCTCGGGCCTGGCTGTCTCCGGCTGTAAGATGGGCGAGGACTCCGAGGTCTGAGAGGGGCAGGCACGGGGAGAGGGGGCCCGCTGGCCTCTGGGGCCGCCCCTCCTGCCTGCAGACGCCACGCCCCCACCCCTGCACCCTCACTCCCGCGGACAGACGGCCTCACACTCGTAGGGCCACCGCCACTGCGGCCCCTGCCCCTCGGCCGCCCTGGACCAGGCACCTCTGCAGGGAGGGCCGGGGAGGCTGAGAGAGGGCGGCCGGCCCAGCCTCGCTGATGGCCCCGTTCCCTCCCCCCAGCCCGGGCCCTGCACTGCCACGTGTGCTGCGGCCACGCCAACTGTGAGTCCCTGGTGGAGTGTGCCCAGACCGACAAGTTCTGTGTGATCACACGGGCCAGTGAGTACCCCGCCCCCCAGCCCGCGGCCGGCCGCGGGACAGCATGGCCGCCCCGGCCCCGCCCCGCCCCCTGTGGATGTGAGGGCGGCTCCACCCGCAGCCCCCAGCCCCCAGGTGGGCATTAGAGCTTAATGTGTGTATGTCCTGTGTTTTTTAAATAGTTTCAACTGATGTCAGAGAGGAAGGGAGAGAGAGAACATCCATGATGAGAGAGAATCATGGACCGGCTGCCTCCTGCACGCCCCCCACTGGGGATCGAGCCCACAGCCGGGCCTGTGCCCCAACCGGGAATGGAACCGTGACCTCCTGGTTCCTAGGTCGACAGTCACCCACTGAGCCATGCCAGCCAGGCTGGCTTCACAGCTTAAAGGAGAGGGAGTCCCTGACTGTGCCAGGGGACAGGTGTGGGCGGCCGTGTGCCGCTGGCAGCTGAGGGGCTG